CACTTCTGCCCCCTCCAGATGGAAGTAAAGTGGGTGGCATTAGGTTTACCTCTTTATCCAATCTCTTGTTAATGAGTTTTGACTCGTTTAAAGGACAAATGCCCCAAAGCCATGTTGCTTATTTAGCAAAGTGATTTATGAATTGCTGAAGGGGTCTCAGTGCCTTAAATGGGAGCTCTGGTTACCAAACACTAAGAGAAGCCCTTCTATTAGCAATCAGCAAAAGTGCCTGCTAGGCCAACAGGAGCAGTGTTGGCTGACAAGAATGAGACAGGCTCTCACAGTCACCCCCCAGGCTCCTGCCACCAAGGCTGGGCCCTGGGAGCTCCCTGGACAGAAACTGGTGGGGAGGGGAGGGAAAGCTCATTTTGGGGGCTTCCCACTATGGATGGGGCATCTTCCTCTGTGTGACCCTCACTTCCACGCTGCTTGCAGATCTTCTTGGTAGATGAGGACTTTGAGGCCTCAACTTGTGAGTGATGTGTGTGGAGTGACTGCCCAAGTACTTGCTGCCCTCCTGGCAGAGCAAAGGTTAGACCTGGGCCTGTGGGATTCTGAGGATTCTACTTTTTGGCCACCTAATTCTTTTCTGCCTCCTTGGTGGTATTAGGCTAATCTGTCCTAGCAGCCAGAGCCCACCAGAACCAAGGGCAGCAGGGACAAGGTCAGAACAGAGTTTATGATAAAACTGGGGCACCTATGGATTTAGCCAATGGCCATTTAGCCCAGGTCACCATTGTACAGTAAGGACCTGGGAGGGCAGAAGGATTTCCTAGAGCCCCCATGGCCTATACAGCTGACAGGCTGGGACTACAGCTTGTATCTTCAGTGCTGCCTGGCACAGCCCAAGGTCATAATCCACAGCTTTAGGATCCAAACAGCTCAACTGTGCTGTGTGGACAAGCCTCCTCCAGACCCTGATTCTGACCTTGCTTCCCTCTACCTCCCCATCCATGCCAAGCTGAACTTCCAGCAAGGCCACCTCATTCTCCTGGTGCCAGCATCTGGGCTGCAAGGTCACAGAGCCATCTATCTGGCCTTATTCAAAAGGAACGGCAGGGCTGGGGGTGAAGACCAGTGGTAGAGCACTTGCCAAGTTTGTTCAAGTTCCCAGGTTCCATCCCCAGCATGAATGAATGAGTGATAAGGCTTGACTTTGTCCATGTTGTTCCAGTCTCTGGAGAGAAGGAAAGGGATCCAACTCTTCTCCCCAGAAGGAGAGGAAAGGCAGATGGTTTTGTGGCCACAATCATAGACTTCAAGCAAGCAAGGCTGGACTAAAGTCTGCTGCTTCCCAGCTGAGTGTGGCCTTGGGCACGACCCTTTCCCCAGAGCAACTGCATCCTAGACTGTATAACATGTAGAACATCAATAACTCCTAAACATGTACTCCTGGGCATGTGAACATGAGGTTCAAGCAAGATAGTGTGGGTACAACTGTGACAGGATGTCCAGCGTGTAGTGAGTGATCATTTAATGTGGGTTGGCATAAATGCTGCTTGTGAGGGTGGTGGTGGCAATGCTAACATGACAGGTGAGAGCTGAGGCCCCCAGAGGGGGGCCCCTGGCAGGGAAAAGGCATTCTTGTTTGGGAATTTGAGGGGAATTTAATAAGGACCTTTTGCAAAGTTAAGGGTAAGGTTTAGGAGGAGAATGAGGGAGAGTGTGTTCCCTGGGGATAGGAACTATGAGGAGCACTCACTGAAGGGGCAAGAGGAGAGAATAGGCTAGGCATGGTGATACCCACCTGTAATCTTAGCACATTGGGAGGCTGAGGCAGGAGGATGATGACTCCAGGAACTTAGATCAGAACACATTGAAGTGGCCACCTGGGGTCAGCTTGCTCAAGAGACTGTTTCCCACATCACCCAACTCAGCCACCCAGCGAAAGGGGAGAGAAATGGAGAGTGGTGGTGGCAGGATGGACATGACATGACCAAGAGGCAGGGGAAGGCCAAGCCAGGGAGCTCTGGGAGAGAAGTTGCCCTGGGACTTGCTGCCTGGGCTGTGGGCCCCCAGAGCTGCCTCTTCCTGAGAATCCAGGCCCAGGTTCAGCAGTAGGGACATGGACAGCTATGTTCATACAAGCATCATCTTGCTGCCCAGTGGGCCCAGGGCAAACCCAAGGAGGAAGCAAGAGCCCTCCTTCCCTGGGATCTGGCCCCAGGGCCTTGCCCCTGCCTCAGCTGGGCTCCCTAATAGTGAGTTTAACCTCAGTGCTCCCTGGGGGGGGGTGCGCTAGTGGGAACAGAATTATCTATTAGCTGTGAGATTAATCATTACCTGAGATCACACTGATTCATCAGAGCTTGGGGCTGAGCCCTGGGCAGGGCAGCAGAAGGACACCTGGGGTGCAGATACCTTTCCCAGCCCAAGAAACCCAAGGGGCAGGGAAAGAAGACAAGGTGAGGTGGCCGGGGTACAAGGCCTTCTCTCACTGGGGTAGGGGAGGATAGGGGAGGCACTGGAAAAACATCCCTGGGCTCCTTGGTCCAAGGAGATGGACACAGGCAAGAGGAGGCAGGGACAGAGTGGCTGCTGGTGGCTACCATGTTTGTAGGCCATCAGCACTCAGGAGCCAGGCAGCCTGGAACCAGTGCCCAGCCTCAATGCCCTCCTCCAAGGCAGGAAGCTCAGGCACCAGGCGGGGGAGCCAGGGGCCATTCCAGAGCTTTGGGAATTGGAGGGGTACAATGGGGCAGGACCAGAGCTGCAGTAAGGCAGGCCACCTGGTGAGGAAACACATTTCCAGGCTGCTTGCATAGCCTGGGAGTGAATCCCCCTTAACTACAGTTGGCTTGCTAGAGGCCCCAGGGGACCCCTAGGCATGGCTGGCTCCTAGCTCTCCTTTTCTAGCCCAGCCCATCTGTCCCCTCTCCATGGAATAGCCCCCCACCTAGTTGTTCTCATCCTCCCACTTTGCCTGGCATGTCTTTAGTGCTTAAGGAAAAGTTTTGTTTCTTTGCAATCATTTCTTTCATCTTTGCTTCATATTCTAAAACTGCTATTGGCCATACATGGCCCTCTTTAATTACAATTTATTGTGAATAATGTCACGCCCCTGACCTACAGGGCTTGTGTTCCAACTCTTTGCTTCATATTCTAAAACTGCTATTGGCCATACATGGCCCTCTTTAATTACAATTTATTGTGAATAATGTTGTCACGCCCCTGACCTACAGGGCTTGTGTTCCAAGATCCCCAGCAGGCACATGAAACTGAAGATCCTACCAAACCCTACTATGTTTTTGCCTATACATCCACATCTATGAACATGTTTAATTTATAAATTAGGTACTATTCTAAAACTGCTATTGGCCATACATGGCCCTCTTTAATTACAATTTATTGTGAATAATGTTGTCACGCCCCTGACCTACAGGGCTTGTGTTCCAAGATCCCCAGCAGGCACATGAAACTGAAGATCCTACCAAACCCTACTATGTTTTTGCCTATACATCCACATCTATGAACATGTTTAATTTATAAATTAGGTACAGTGGAGCAGGGACGTAGCTCAGTGGTGCCACGCCTACCTAGCAAGTGCGAGGTTCTGAGTTCAATCTCCGGTTGACATGGCACATGGCAATTTAATATTTTCAGATTGCATGCCTTGCTTTCCCCATTGATGGAACAAAATACCAGACATTCACAATTTAAAGGAGAAGAGGTTTATTCTGGCTCACGTTTTGAAGGTTTCGCTGCTTGTATGGTCAGCTGGCTCCAAGCAGAAGCATCATGGGAGAGGGGCCTGAGGAGGAGAGGTACTCACAGCATGGTGGATGGCAATTTAATATTTTCAGATTGCATGCCTTGCTTTCCCCATTGATGGAACAAAATACCAGACATTCACAATTTAAAGGAGAAGAGGTTTATTCTGGCTCACGTTTTGAAGGTTTCGCTGCTTGTATGGTCAGCTGGCTCCAAGCAGAAGCATCATGGGAGAGGGGCCTGAGGAGGAGAGGTACTCACAGCATGGTGGACAGGAAGCAGGGAGACAAGGGAGGAGCCAGGGAAGGAGATTAACCCATCCAGGACACACCCCAGTATGGCAATTTAATATTTTCAGATTGCATGCCTTGCTTTCCCCATTGATGGAACAAAATACCAGATATTCACAACTTAAAGGAGAAGAGGTTTATTCTGACTCACGTTTTAAAGGTTTCGCTGCTTGTATGGTCAGCTGGCTCCAAGCAGAAGCATCATGGGAGAGGGGCCTGAGGAGGAGAGGTACTCACAGCATGGTGGACAGGAAGCAGAGAGACAAGGGAGGAGCCAGGGAAGGAGATTAACCCATCCAGGACACACCCCATTTACCACCTTTTCCCACTAGGCCCCAACAGCAACCAGCTATAAGCTCCCCTAATCCAATCCCCCACCTATGAGCACATAAGGCTCTTGGAAGACATCCAGATACAAACCGTTCCATGGCAATTGATTCTGGGTGACTATCAAACAAAAGACACAGTTAAGGGGGCACCACTCAATGACAAACTCCCTTTAACTGACCACCTGAGCCAAAAAAGCAGAATGTCTGTAATAAGGGATCCACTTACATGTTCTTTCACCATTCTCTCTCCAATCATCTTTCATTCCACCCTCCAAGACGAAACTGTCCTCTTCGGTTTTGTATTTCTGATTGTTAAACACAAGGAAGACAACAGGTATCCCAAGAGGGAGGCTCTGGTTCTTAAGCAGAAGTAGCTGTTTTACAAACCGAGTGCCGGCTACCCTGAGGGCAATACTGTTTCCCTCTGGGGAAGTGGGGGCAGTGTGGGGTTGGGCACACAGTGCAGCTGGTGAGGCCATGGGTACCAAGGCTGGGAGTGGGTGGAGAGGATGCCGGAAAGCAGGCAGCAGCTCCAGGGAGACAGAGAAGGGCTCGACTCCACCCTCTGCTCCTACTCAGGGGTCTGTGTGACTTCAGCTACGATGTCACACAGTGGTGCCAGGTGACCCAGCTGGGTAGAGTAGCTCATTGTATTTCCAGATCTGGGAAGAGAAAAGCCGACCTCTCTTCACCTTCCTGGGAGGTGTCCAGCCCCCTGCCCAACTGGCATGGCACAGGTCCCTCAATGCCCCTGCACCTGCAGAACCTCTCCTTGCTGAGAAAGATCCAGACCCTGCCACTGTCCACGCTCCCCTTTCCCTGGTCCAACCCAGAGCTGGTGCATGGCAGTCCTGAGACCACACTAACTAACACTGAGGTGCCTGGGCCGGCTATCAGGGCAGGCCTGACACCCAGTCACCCACCCACCCCAGACACTGGTCCCGGAGCTTGCTAGACAAGTTTGGACGTACCTGCCCCAAGAGGATGGGGCAGAAAAAGAACAAGGTGAGGCCTGGGTGCAAAGGTCATGCACCTATATGAGCCCATCCCTCCTGCATAATCCTTTCTTTTGCTTGCTCCTATGAAGGGGGATAGGCGGATATAGATGGTTCCTGTTTTTTTTTTTTTTTTTTTTTTTTTTTTTTTTTTTTGAGACAGGGTCTTACTATGTAGTTGAGACTGACCTGGAACTCCCTTTGTAGTCCAGGCTGGTCTCGAACTCACAGCGATCCTCCTGCCTCAGCTTCCCGAGTGCTGGGATTACAGGCATGAGTCACCACGCCTGGCCATGGGTCTCAGTTTTCTCAACTGTGAAATGGGAAGCAGGGTGGTCCCAGACTCTTTTTTGGGCCCGGCAGGAAGTGAAATGTAGCTTTTTGGAGGTGTGGACTGGGACTGCTCTTCCCTGCTAGATTCTGCCCCCAAGTGGCCCATCCTCTGTAACATCCCTGGAAGGGGCCCTGTTTCCTACAGAGCTCCTATCCTGACTTCCCAGGCCCAAGCCCCCTGCTGGAGAAAAAAAAAGTGGGGGGAGATTTTTTATTGTTGTTTTGGGTTTTTTTGTTTGTTTTTGGATTTTTTTGGTAGATGCTTAATAAAAATCTATGGCAGGGGCTGGGGATTTAGCTCAGTGGTGCCACACAAGCCAAGTCCTGAGTTTGATCCCTGGTATCAGAGTAAAAAAAAAATCTATGGCAGAGGAACAGGGCCTGCCAGGAGGGGACTAGACCCTCAGTGCAATAACATGCCACTAGTTCAGCATAGGACCTTCCTTACCTTCTGCTAACTGGCAATGTCAAGCCTGTGACAGAGTCACCCACAGGGATAGCAGCAAAAACCAACACCAAAGTCACGCTCCCTAAGAAAACCCTCTTGTAGCTACACCCTCAGGTCAAATAGGCCAGATTCCTGGGGCTGCCCAGGAGCCGCTGTGGTTTGCACCTTTACTACTCTTGGCTCAGACATCTCTAGGCCCTCATGTTCACTGTCCAGATGCCACCTCCCTGTTTAAGCCTCTTCCTGGATTGTCACACACTCAGGACGGGGACAAGCCTGGCCTAACAGAATCCCTAAATAGCAGCAGATTCAGGGACCCAGGAAGTGTGGGGGCCCCCGAGGAGGAGCCAGATCCATTTGATTTGATTTGTAGCTGTGGGAAACATTTTAATAGCTGGGGAGAATCCTCTATAAAACATGTTCATAATTTAGGCAGTAGTATATATTCATATTTCTTCTTCTGCAAATCCTAGGCCCTATCTTTTTATTGGGTGATGTTTATAGATGTCAGTGCTCTTTGTATTAAGGATATTAATTCTTTTTATTTATTGCAATTTTCTCCTGTTTGTCTTTTTCTTGGGGGTATTGTAGTGAAATTGAGCCATTATAAAAATTGGTATGGATTTTTTTTAATGTAGTCAAACAATCAAGCTTAACAATTCTTTCTTTATGATTTGAATTTCGTGTCTTATTTTCTCCACATTGTGCATGCTGGGCACATGCTCTACCACTGAGCCATCCTGCCAGCCTCATGGCATCTTTTGAAAAGGTTCTCCTGCTCCAGATGCCACAAACTCTGCCCCTACTAATGAATCCTCAGGTTACCGACCTGCGTGGTAGATCTTGTAGCCCAGAGAATGAGCCCCATGTCCAAAGGTGCAGGCAGAAGGCAGAGAGAGGCCTCAAGATCTCAGGGCTCAGCAGGTTCTGGTTCCAGTCCCAGCCCTGGCCCTGCTTACTCAGCCACACACTAACTCGAGCCCACTGGAGTCTAACAGAAACAAACAACAGATCCAGGCAGCCCCCAGCTCTGAAGCTTCCACCCTCTGGTTGCTGGGAAGTGGCAAGGGAGATGCAGTGTGTACTGGGTAGTGGGGTGGAGGACTGGGTCTCCTTCCATCCTTGCCCCAGAATCAGCCCCGCTGGGAGCTGAAATGAAAGAGCTATTAATCTCTCCACTGCCATCCCATCATCCATCCTATGCACACACAGCGCCCTGTGTGACAGCCAATCCCTGGTCACCTAGAATAGCTGTTGCTACTCCTGGCTTTTTAAGTGTAGCCCAGAGAATGAGCCCCATGTCCAAAGGTGCAGGCAGAAGGCAGAGAGAGGCCTCAAGATCTCAGGGTTCAGCAGGTTCTGGTTCCAGTCCCAGCCCTGGGCCTGCTTACTCGGCCACACACTAACTCGAGCCCACTGGAGTCTAACAGAAACAAACAACAGATCCAGGCAGCCCCCAGCTCTGAAGCTTCCACCCTCTGGTTGCTGGGAAGTGGCAAGGGAGATGCAGTGTGTACTGGGTAGTGGGGTGGAGGACTGGGTCTCCTTCCATCCTTGCCCCAGAATCAGCCCCGCTGGGAGCTGAAATGAAAGAGCTATTAATCTCTCCACTGCCATCCCATCATCCATCCTATCCACACACAGCGCCCTGTGTGACAGCCAATCCCTGGTCATCTAGAATAGCTGTTGCTACTCCTGGCTTTTTGAAAGCAAATCCACCTTCTGAATGGGGAAGTCAGAATTAGTTACATCTGAGCCTGTCCTGTGGCAGGCCCAGCGGGGTGCCAGGTGCCATACCTGGATATCAGCAGGCTTCAGCGCTGACCCAGCCATGCCATCTGTGGGCCATGTGGCCCGGAGGAGTGGCCTGCCGAGTTTTGACCCCAGTAGTGTTTGGTGGGAAAGCCCCGAGTGGGCCTGAGAAGCCAGTGTGAGCCCCAGCTCTATACCCAGCTAATGGAGACACTTTACACTCTTAGGGGAAGAGAATTTCCTTCCTGGGGCTCAGTCCACCCCCTGCTCAGATTATGTGATCTGAGATTCAGGGGTCTTCCCCATCAGCCATATTCACTCCTACATGTAAGTCAGCACTTGTACATTCTTTAGTGCTGGCCAGAGTAGAGGACAGGAAGAGGACGTTGTCCTGATGCAGACATCTGAGGGAAGCCTGGTGAAGCAGGGGAAGAGAATTTCCTTCCTGGGGCTCAGTCCACCCCCTGCTCAGATTATGTGATCTGAGATTCAGGGGTCTTCCCCATCAGCCATATTCACTCCTACATGTAAGTCAGCACTTGTACATTCTTTAGTGCTGGCCAGAGTAGAGGACAGGAAGAGGACGTTGTCCTGATGCAGACATCTGAGGGAAGCCTGGTGAAGCAGGAAGCTTAAAGGAAGGAGGGAGGCTGGGAGCCTGGCCCACAATCCCCACCACAGGCCTCCTCCTTGGCCTAGGCCTCCCTGTCCCTGTCCCAACCTGCCCAGCAGGTACAGTGGGCACAGGCCTGCAGGCCTCGCCAGGAGGCGCCATCCTGCCAGCTGGCCTCAGGACAGAGCAAAGTGCTCTAGCTGTTCTCAGCACCGCCCCTGCAGGCTGCATTCCTGGGCAGCTGTGCCCAAGTTAGCAGAGGCCATAGAGGTAGGGAGGGGGCAGCACAGGCCTGGCTGGACTCCAGGGTGCCAGGGATGACATCAGTGCTTCTGGGCCCTTGCCTCTGTAGCGACCAGAAAGCCCATGACTGGTCCCATGCACTCACAGCAATGAAGGGAGTCAAGGTCAGGGTGTGAAGGAACATTAGTCCCCTCTCCAGGACTCCTGCAGGAGCCATGGGCACACCTGCTGCTGGGAAGGCTGAGTCACAAGCCAGTCAAGCTTGGCAGGGAGGGAAACTGAGGCTCAGAGAGGTGGCAAAGAGAGCTGGGCAGAGCTAGCTGGACCTATATCTCTTGCCCCACAGGCTGCTAATCTTGGTCCCCAACCACTAAACCAAGAGACGACCTGCTGGGGAGCAATGGGAAGGAAGCCAGAAAGGAAGTGGTCAAAGAGGGGAGGCATGGTCTGTGGCCACTCCACCCCAGGGATTCCCTCCTTCCTCCCACCTGGCCTGGGCAGAGGAATGGAGGAGGGGACACTCATCAATACCACTGCAGATGGTGACAGCCCCACTGAGCCTGGGGTGGGGCAGGGAGGTGTTCTTGCCTCCTAATGAGGCATCTTGTTAGGCAAGGACCTGCACAGGGAAGCCAGAGGAAGCAAAGAAGTAAGCCAGAGGGATGTCGGCTCCTCCTTCCCGGTGACATCTGGAAGAGCAGTCCAGGCAGAGGATCAAATAGGACAAAGGCTGGGAGGCAGGAAGGAGAAACAGCCAGGAAGCCAGAGTGGCTGGAAAAGAGGGAGCGAGGGGCCCAGGGCCAAGGCCAGGCCAATTCCTGGCCCAGGTCCTGCAGAGTCTCCTGGGCCTCCATGGGTTCTGAGAAAAACTGGGAGCCAAGGCAGGATCTAGAGCACAAGAGTGACTTACATTTGCAGAGGGCTCTCTGGCTGCAGTGTGAGATAGCTAAAGGAGTCACTATCACCAAGTGGGGCAGATAGCGGGAAGAGATGTTGGAGGAGTCAAGTCTCCTGGGAGGTCTCCCCCCACCACTGTCCTAAACTGAAGGAGGTCACATCTCTGGAGGGACCCTAGGGGCTGAACAGAGCCTCAGTGCTCAGCCCCTCTCGTTCCTGTGTCTGAGGCTTCCTAAAGCCAGCAAGGGGGCACTGTGCCCCAGACCCCCAGTGCAAGGTGAGTCCAGACGCGCTGGTCCAAGCCCTCATGTCCCATTGGCGAAACCCACCCTCAGAGGATGGCGGCCCAGTTCCCACAGTGGGTAGAGGCAGAGTGGGGACCCACTTGTCCTGACAGTGCCCATCTGCAGCCCATGGCCCCTCATCAGTTTGTCACACCAGGAGGACAAAGGGCAGGTAGCCTCCTGCCAGGGGAGGTCTAGCAAGGGTCACTCCAGGGAGTGGAGTCAGGAGCCAGGCAGCACTGGGAGGGGACCATGACCCTCCTTCCTCCTGCACAGGTCCTCTGGGTAGAAAGTGGATGGGCATCTGAGGCAGATACAATATTGTCCCTATCAATACTTTGAGAGTTCATAGATGGGGATATACTTTGTAAACTGTAAAGTGCCGTGCACAAGACAGACCCGTGGTGACAGGTGACCCATTACTAGGCTGTGAGAAGCACCAAGGCTTGGAAGTGGCACTGGGTTTAGAAGGTGAGGTGGCCTGTCTCCTGCTGCAGGATGGGACACATCCAGGCCTGGGGAAGGAAGGACAGCACTGAGGACAAAGACAGGGAGAGAGTGGCTTTAAGGGTGACTGCCCTGTAGTAGGTACCCGGGGTGACAGAGACTTGAAGAGGAATGATGTGGGGGTAGGGAGAGAGTAAGAGGTTAGAGGAAGAGGCCACTCAGCCCCAGCTCTCCCTGCAGGTCACTGAGGGCCTGGCCCTGAATGTCCCTCAGAGCACACCACCTGACATCAGCCACCTGTCTCCCTCCAATAAGGAGACCCTCACGGTCACTCTGCATGGGGCTATCAACCTCCCTACGTGTGCGGACGGCTCGGAGCCATCTCCCTACGTGGTGGTGTAAGTAGCTGAAGGAGGGCAGCTCTGTGAGCACAAACTAGGGAATGGGTATTTGTAAAGGGGTCCTGGAGGGTTCAGGACATAGACTGTGACACCAGAGAAGTCTCACAGGGGCTGTGGCTCTGTAGATGGGGAGGAAAGGTACCAAGGGGGACACCTCTTGATCTCACAAGCAGCTGGGCAGGGCTTGGCCGCAGCTGGAACTTGCAGAGGCCTAGGCTGGGCTCAGCGCAGGTGATGGTCAAAGAGACGACTTGGGGTCCCCTCTCCTGGCCTCTGGGTGTCCTAGCCCACCATGCTCAAGTGACCAGGGGTCCTCAGAACCCCTACCTTTGGCCCCCCACCTCGCCCCAGTCATTTCCATCTCAAGGCTCCTGGTCCTTCCCCCTCAACAGTACTGGAGACCCCCACACCATGTCTGCTGCCCACCTCACAGCCTCACCGCTCCCAGAGGCAGCATCACCATGCCAGCTGGCCCGGCTCAGCCCTTACTGTAAAGCCCCGCAGGACCCCATTCCCCCAAGATCTCTAATCCCCGCCAGGCTCCCCTCCATCTCCCCTCTTCCTCTAGGCCAGCATCATTCAGCTCCTGCCTTTGTGAAGTACCTGCCCCAGCCCTCTCTCCAGCACCCACCGAAACTGCACCCCCAAAACCTTGCCCGGGACTTCTCCTCCGGGCAGCCCCCAGGGTTGAGCACTGGCTCCTCTGGAGTCCCATGGCAGTGAGAGCCCTAGTCTGACTTTATATGAATGCAATTTATATGCTCCTCTTGGGTTCCTGAACTGCGGCTCCCTCAGGGTCCCAAGGCACATCCTCCTTTTCTCCAACAGTGTGCCTAGCCTAGGTTTGAGCCCAGACTTGGGGCCAAGGTTCAAGAGGTTAGGATTACCTCGGCAAAGGGGCCGAGATGCTGTGCCAGAAACCAACAGGTGACACACTTGCCTTGCTGGACCCAGGGCCTCCTGTGCACAGCCTGGCTCCTCGGCCCTCCCCCAACCCAGTTCTCTGGAGAGGGAGGGACAGGTGGCAGGGAGCAGAGGCTGGCTCCTAGCTGAGAGCTTGCTGGCCAGCACCCCGCTACTATTTCCATAAACCAATTATCGCTGATCATCTTAGGAGATTGAGGGCCTGTTTGTCACCAATCCAGCCTGGGTGGTGGAGGGGCGGGGAGCAGGGTGGCCCCATTGCTCCTCAGCAGGCTTTGCAGCCCTGCACCTTCACCCCGTTGCCATGGGAACGCGCTGCTGGGAGCCTAGGCGACCGGAGCCCGGGTAGGGGTGTGAAGAGCTGGGCACGCCCCAGTCTGCCGGCACTCTCCCAGTGGCACGTGGGGCGGGGTGGGGGTGGGGACTGAGCGAAAATCTGAGAACAGGCCTGGTCCAGGCTGCCCACTGTGTCCCGGGGCTCCAGGCAGAGCAGCCACCAGCTCCAGGTGGTGCTAATGAAATGCAAATGAGCAAAGGGAGGGTTTCCAAGAGGGGCCCAGCTGTCAGGAACCTGAAGATGGTTTTCAGGGCTCCCCAGGCCCAGGCAGGTGGGAACCCCAGAGGAAAGACAGGACCCCCAGAGTCTCCAGGCCCTGGAAAGGAATTTGATGCCCTCTGGTGTCTCATTACAATGCTCAGTGACAAAAGCAGACACCGAGCATGAGAAAGTCCAGTAAAGTGTTCACTTTCTCATAATGAATATTTCGATGTTTTTTTAAAAGATGCATAAGTACTTAAATGGAAAATCTGAAACTGTCAAACTCCTAGAAGAAAATGGTGTGGGGGAAGTTCCTTACTTTGGTTTTGGCAGTGATTTCTTTGGGTTTGACAACAAAAGTATAAGCCTAAAAACAAAAATAAACAAGTAAAGGGCTGGGGATTTAGCTCAGTGGTTCCGCCATCTGCCTAACAAGCACAAGATCCGGAGTTTGATTCCCTGTACCAAAAAAAAGTAGAACTACAACTAAAAAGTTCTACAGAGCAGGGGCAACAGTGAATGAAGTGGAAAGGCAACTTATGGGAGGGATAGAGAAAATACATTCAAAATCATATCTTTACCAAGGAGTTAAAATATAGGAGGGACTTTCACAATTCAATGGCAAAAGAAAAACAAACCCCATTCAAGAAATGAGCAAAGGAACCAGAGTTATTTTTCTAAACAAGATACAAATGGCCAACAAGTATATGAAAAGGCACTCCGGTCACTCACCATCAGAGAGAAGCAAAAAAAAGTCAGGAGGAGACAACATCTCACACCTGGTAGGAGGGCTAGTATCAAAAAACAGTGACAGGGTTTGTTGGTTTGTTGGAGAGGACAGAAAGAGAATCCTGCCATGCTGCACTTCCACTGCTGGGAATGAAGACTGGTTCCGCCTGCAAAATGGGATGGTAGTTCTCAAAAAGCTAAAACTACCACTATGTGATCCATCCATCCCACTTCTGGATAATAGAGCAAAGGAAATGAAATTAGTACCTTGAGGGATATCTACATTTCTACGTTCATTGCAGTATCATTCTCAATAGCGGAGGCATGAAGTCCTTCTGTCTCCATCCACCAATGAGTCGATAAAGAAAATATTATAAGTATATATTTCCTTTTGGGATTCAGATGTGCAGCATGGTGACCGAAGTTGATGACACCACTGTGGACGTGAGATTTGATAAGGGTTATCGCCCATGTTCCCTCTGACACACACGAAAAGGGTAACTTTGTGAGAGTCATGGGTGTGTTCACTACCCTGATCATGTGGAGTAATTAATAATGATACATGCATCAGAGCATCCGGGTATGCATTTTAAAATACAAATGCCAATCATACCTCAGTGAAGCTGGAAAAAAAATAAGTACAACATTTCAGTCTTTCCAAGCATTTCCCCACCTTTCTGTGGCCCTGTTTTCTGGTGCCGTTTGCATCATTTCCTGGTTCGGTTGCCTGCTCTTTGCCATCCGTCCTGTGTTGTCCCAGTCCGAGAAGGGCTTTGTCACTTCTTGAGCAGGTGGGCCAACTGTTGGGGTGCTGGGGAGTAAAGCCCAGGCTGAAGGTCCCCCAAAGTCTTTCATGCTGTCACTGCATTAGTGGGGAGCAGAAGAGGCTGCAGGCCCAAAGATGGGGCCTGGCTTCTGTGGAGTATAGCCATTCACCGCCCCTGTGGCACTGGCCTGGACCCCTGTGGTCAAGGGGTACATCCTCTAGTTACATAGCAGCCAGCAGACCCCTGGGCGCAGCTGTGGCCCTGCCTGTGTCTGTCAAAGCAACTGATTGGATCCAGTCTGACCCCACTTCTCCATGGGAACAGCTTTCTCTGGGGTCCCTGGTGGCCACCGTGCTCACTTGTGTCCAGTGGGCACCTGGTCCTGCGTTATCTCCCAGCAGCATTGCCCCTGTGCAGCTCTCTTCTCCTGGCCTCCAAGTTGCCCACTCTTATTTCCCTCCCCAGCCAAGCCCCTCTCTCTTCTCTGGCACTAACTGCTCCTTTCTCAGGTTTCCACCTACCCACTCTTTCTCTACCCTCTCTCCATCCTGGAGCCAGGGCTCACAAGCTCTTTTGCTCCCATCCAGTCTATCGCCAAGGTGTCACTTCTCTCTTGCCTCCTGGAGTGGGCTGCTTCTCTCCACCAGATCCTCTACCCAGTCCACTATTTCCCCACTACTCTTGGTCTGTCTACACTCACCCCTTGGACTCTCCCTTAAAAGACAGCTCCCAGGTTAAGGAAGATTCCAGGCCCATAATGGTTGGGGCTTTGCTAGTTCCCCCACTTCCCTCTCTCTGCTCTAGCCACATGGGGCATCTCTCAGTGCTCTGGGAACCACTGTTCTTTCTCACCCAAGCCTTTGCGTTCCCCTCCCCAGAGCATAATCTGATCCCTTCTTCAGATCAATCAGCCCTCCACCATCACTTCCTCCAGGAAGCCCTCCCTGATCTCCCAGTCCCATGATGTCCATGAGCAACCACCAGATCCATTTTGCTCACCGTTACATCCCCACTGTGCATCACAAAAGCAGGAACATGGGAAGCTGGCGATAAGTCCTTGCTGGATGGATTGATGCAGCCATGTTTCTAGCTCACTGTGTCACTTTGGGAGAGTTACCTCTCTCCTAGGTGCTGGGCTGCTTCCTAGGGGATGGGCTTTGAAGGGCTACAGAGACAAGAGAGCCAGGCAGCAGGAGCTGCAGCAGTTGCAAAGCATAAGGGGAGGGAGAGGAGTGCCTAACTAGTGCCCTCAGTGGGCACAGGAGGCCGAACAGGAGAAAGTCAAGAGCAGTGGGCAGAGGGGTTGGACTGGAATCCAGAAGATCCTGACTCCCTCTGTGACCTCTGGCCAGGCCCTGCCCCTCTCTGAACCTCAGTCCACTCATGTCTCAGCGATGGTGCAGGCCTGCCTGCTGCTTGTGCTCTGGTCTAGGTCACTGTCTCATTCTTCATAATTCAGCTGTTCTGGGCCAGGGATTTAGCTCAGTGGTTCCACTGCCTGCTTCGTAAGCACAAGGACCTGAATTCAATCCCTGGTACCAAAAACAAAACAAAAAACATAATTCAGCTGTGCTGCTCAAGACAGATTCCATGTCCACACCTGCTGGGCCAGCTCCCAGGTCCAGGATCTCCCAGCTGGTCACAGCCTGGCTCAAGGCCCTGGGCCTGACCAGTGTCCAGCACCTGTCTCTTCACCTGGCACAGACAGACCTGACAATCAGCACAGCAGGGACCAGGAAGGGATAGCACTGACAGATGGGGTGCAAGTGGGGTGTCCCAGTGGATGGTCGCAGGGGTGAGGAGCTAGCCAGGAGACAACCTGTGGTTCTGACTCTTGCCCCAAAGCTGGTGAAGGCTGTCAGGGTTGGCAGCCACTGCATTGGCTGCCTGCTGCCCAGGACTAATGAGTGGGGCCTGAGCCAGTATCCAGAGAGAGATTCTGCCTCCTCTGTGCATGCAGCAACTGGGCTCAGCAGGGAAGAGGGGAGGCACAGGTCAGTGCTGGGCAGGGCCATGCTTGGAGGATCTGTGAATCCTTG